CCATTTAAAATGGAGGTAAATCCCATTTTGCCCCATTCTAAATGGACTTTTCGCATGATTCTTTCGCAAGAGAGAACTCAAGTAGGGTTGAATCATTTTCATCACACCGCTTTGCCTCGTGGTTGCGGTGAGATAAAAATTCTTGGATACCGCTAGCGAAAGGAGATTGCGACCAGTTTCTACCGCGAACGACTAAAATGGGGTTTGGAAGTCCATTTTCCTCCATTATGGACTTTCGTGGATATCATTCCTGAGCTCCTTCGTCACTTTTCACAAGTACGCAAAGAACGTGAAATAACTGTAGTGTCAGCCAATGTGTGCAGTTGCACATGCTATTTTACTCGACGCACTTTAAGGTTGTGGCACAAGTTTATTTATTTTTTTCACTAAAAGCCAGCTCCAGTTCATTCCTTGCCTTGTGCTTATTTGATCACAATATTTGTAATTTGTGGTCACACTACTTACAAATTTTATCACCTTCATTGTTTCAGAATGGTGTCATTAAAATCAACCAAGTCAAAACCTGCAGCTAGTCGTACTTCTCGTCATAAAAAGAAATATTGGAGAAAAGGGATTGACATGAATGTCATTGGGAAAAGCATCCGTAAATTTTTGCGAAATTAAAGCATGACTGAGTTATTTCGAAGTATTTTCTTTTAAGATGATGTTGTTCAACGACCTAAACCGGCGGATACTCCCGATGGTGAACTTATTGCAATTGATCGAACACCATCTAGCGAAGTAAAGAAGTTTACGAAACGGCAACAAGCCGCTTTGGATAAAATCTCAAAGAGTATAAGGTAGGTCAAGTTCTTGATCAAGTTATGAAAAATACTTTACCTGAATTCTCATTTTCGGGCCGTTTCCGCAATAAAGCAAGCCTTATCTTATGTGCTCTGTTCCTTTCCAAAGGTTTCTTCTTTTAGTGAGCCAGAGAAATTACCATTACCTCCTCCAAAATGTCCGTCACTCAAGAAGCAACCGAAGTTGAAGCAGCCAGTACAGCATAAGGAAAAAGTACAAAAGAAGCAAGATGCTCCAAGCTACGATTTGTGGGATAAAGGTATCTTCAAATTGCAAATTTTTGGTCGTTTTTCTTGGAATTTTCTTTGTAATGATAATGAGAGGAGGTAGCTTTTGCTGAGAATTGCTCTCTTTCTAGATTTCGAACCTAAAGTGGACTTGGAATATAAGGAAGCAGGTGAACATATGCTCCTTTACACGAAGAGAAAGCTTCCACACAAACCAGTAACGGCAAGTTTCAAACCAAGTTTGCTCGACCACGTCGCGCTTCCTGACGCCGGTACCTCGTACAACCCGAAAGCAGAAGATTACGAAGTATGCACCCATATTTTTTTCTTTTCTCTTTTACAACCTAATTTTCCCTTTTTTACTTTCGAGTTCTTGCATAACTTGATTCCTCTTTGTAGAAATATGTGATGAAGATTGCCCAAGATGAAACAAAATTGATATTAGAAGAGGAGAAGATTGAAAGAGGAAGAAAACCCAAGTACGAAAGCGTCGTAACATACGTGGGTTTTGCGCATAGTCTCCTTTTTATCCTATTTAGTCAAGCTTTTCTTTTCAGGAAGAGAAGAGCTTAGAAGAGACAGAAGGGTTGGTTATTGATCCTCGCTACAGTGCTGAAGATGAGAGTAGTACGAAAGAAGAAGTCAGTAAAGAAGAATCTGAAGAAAGTATGGATACAGGTACGCGTAATCCATTCACTGCTTTTTCTGTTTTACCCTTGCTAATGATAGACTGTTAGTCTTGTTTTGTTCTTCACGTGTGTTGCGAACATGTCTTATTTCTTTATGCTAATTTGAGGCTTCAATCCCATTTTTTTTTCATTTTTACAGAGCTTTTGATGTCATTGGTAAAAGTTTGGTAGTCTTACGAGGGAACAGTGTTGTTTGTTTCTTCGTTTTTTCCAACAATATGAGGCTTATAGGTGAAAAAGTGGTTATTTCGCATCTGAAACGCAAAACGCGGAAGCAGAAGCAGAATGCTTTGAAAGAGAAGAAACTTGTTCGAGAACAGAAGCGACGGAAAGAAATCGAGAAGAAACAGCACGATGTTTTCAAGTGAGGGCATCATTAGTTTCTTTCGCTATTCATAGGATAAAACTGAATACGCTGATCTATGGCTTTCAGAGCGAAGAGTATCAATAAAGCGCTCGCAAAGACCGAACAAGAGATAGCAGAGAACGCAGCCAAACGAAAAAAGGAGAAATTTTTGAAGAAGGTAAGCGAGTTACTGTTCAACTTCGATAGCAAAAAATCTACCACAGATGACTGGCCGACAAAAATTGGGAGGCGGAGAGTTCAAAGATGAAGAGGAGCCATTTTTACTACAGGTACAAATCTTTTTCCTGCGTTTGACACATATTTCAAAGTCGTGTATGTTTTACTACTACTTTTCTTGCTTTGAATAGGTGTGCGCCATAACTTGTGTAGCTTAGTGGAATGATCCATTTCAGTTTTGTTCTGTAACTAGACCCCCAATTCTATTGCGCATTGTCGTTAAAGATTTAAAACAAGAACCATTTAGGAGGAACTACCAGATAGTCTTCGCAAGCTGAAGCCACAAGGTCATGTACTAAATGATCGACTAGCAAGCTTGCAAAAGAGAAACATTTTGCCAATTGGTGGTCCTAAGAATAAGAATAAGTTGAAGACGAAGCTGAAGGTGAGGTTTCGCGCTTTGCTGTGGGTACTCTCTTGTGCATGGTTTGAACAGCGAGAGTGCTTAATTGAATGATTTCGATGTTTCAAATTCCTACCCAATCTCTTTCTGGAATGAACATGACACTTTTGTTGACATGTGAATGCTGCTTCAACTTCATCTTTTTTAGCGCAAATTTGTCGAGAAGCGATTAGTCCAAGAGGTCAAGAAAGGAAGTCGCGTCATGTGAACTGGCTGACATTGTTTATGCTGTTGTTTTTGTCTGTTTATTGTTGATTTGCATTGTTAAATGATCCTTTTTGTTGCCATTAAATGATTATATTTACTCTATATAAATTAATAAAAACATATATTTATGAGTTAGTGAACCTCGAGAATTTGAGCACAATGGGCGAGTATATATGAATCTGTCGACGAGCTCATTTCAACTGTTTCACTTTTATCCGCGTCATCTGTCGGCAACGAGAAGTTTGTTAGTAGTCCGTGCAATGCAGCGCAAGGCGTACCGCGGAGTTTGTGGGTACTCGACCGCATTTATGTGCTGTCTTTCACTGATACCGCAGTGACGAACATCGCAAACCCCAGCCTTCCACTAAATGAAACTCGGAATTTTTGTTTTTGAAAGGCACCGTCCACCCTAAGTTGAAGGTCTTGAGCTTTTGGCAGCATATGATATCAGGGCCCCCTATCAAGCCAATCCCCCAACTTGCAACTCAGAATGTCGCTTCAGATTCGAGAAAATCGCTCCGGAACAACGAAGATGCACGAGGACCCCAGACGGTACCGCCCTCCCCGTCCATGCCCTCCCATCCGGGCACGCCCAGCCAATCACCGTTCCGGTAAGCCGGTTGCGGGTTCTCCGAAAGGAGATTTTGGCGTTTTCGTGGATTCTCGACTTCATAGTCGGAATCAGGAACATGAGAAGGCCCCGAAACGATCAAAACATGGAAGTCGAGAATCTGGGTGGACGGTGCCTTTAGTGTAATGGTTTATATCAAATAAACAGCACTTTTCTATTCCTTATCGAAAACTCCATGAGGTTTTGAAGTAAGCTTCATTTTTACATTTGGTCGCTCATGCAGGTTGTAGAAAAGACGTGGGTCATTGCCGCATGCACATCATTTAACGGCAGGAAACTGTGGATCTTGATAATCCTCAAAGGGCTGTGATTCTGCCCCTCTGCCCATACTTTCCACACTTGTCCCATTCTCTCTTTTGCTATGATATAATAACGGATAGGGGTGCTAAGTTGCTGTCATCCGTTTTGAAAGCTTGAAAACGGCGAAAATAAGCGTTTTTTGATGCCCTTCCCGTTGATATACGAGTGGAGCAGTCGATGAAGCTAAAACGTGGCAGGACCCAATGGTTATAGCGTTGCGGCGGGCAGCCTCCAATGGTGAGAAGGACATTGCCAACTCGTCCAGATTCGTGTAAGATTGGCCTGCGCGTGTAAGTTCGAGAGCGATTTTCTCGGCAGGGAAAGCATGCTGTGCAACCGGTATTGCACTGTTGTCATGGTTGGGCGATAAGGAACCTACCGCGTTAAAATCCCGAGTTGTTGGATTTTGTCGATCCACTGCCTTTAATGTTACCACCCCAGAAATTCTTTTAAACTCTTATTAATGGCGCACTTGAGCACACTGACTTCGCAGTGACTTCCGAACGGCTGTTCAGAACTTTCAAAAAGGCGAAAATTTCTGAGGATTTTGGGTTTTGCCACCATGAATCTTTTTGCAGCAGGTCCTTGCTTAGTCGCGCAAAGTCTTCTGAAGTCATCACACTAACTCTAATCTGATGAAGAGTAATTTGGAGTACGTTTTGTGCTGTCTGATTTGGAAGCAACATCAACACTGGTAGAGATTGGTGCGAGGCATCAAGAGAAGAGGGAGTTGTTAACAGAAAAGTAGTTACATTTCTCAAGACCTTGAGCAGCGTTTTTTCTTCTACCTGATCGAATCAGCAATTTTTCTTAACTTTCACTGTGCTATATCACCCTTGTAAATATAAATTACCTTTGTAAGTGCTATGATGTTTTATTGTTCCAATGTTCTTTGCTCAGCGGCGGCCACTTTCGCTTCCACCGCTGCATGTACTACTTTATCTGTGTGTAAAATGAGTGTTCGATGGAACCTGATAAAAAGTGCCGCGACACGTCACTTTGTCTGCTCGTTGGTGGGGAACAGTCTGATGTGTGAACAGTGATTATCCATGTGTACTAATGTATCACGCTTTGCTTTTACTTCACCAGTCCTATCTAAAACATAATGGGGATGTTATAGAAGCAGCCTTACGTCAGCAAAATTGTTTCTGTTTAGTTCGACGATTTTCCCACAATGTTATCAAGCCACTGGTTCGAGAAATGGATGAAAAGTCACAGATGCACCAGTCGGTGATTACCGGAGCGTTTGAGAATGGCGTGAGTTATTGGATTATTATATTTTTCACTTTCATTCTTGAAAATTTTTGAATCAGTTGCACAACAGGAAATACTCTGGAAAATTGTTCATAGTTTAGCTAAAAGTGAAAAGCAATAAAAAGAGTCTAAGTGTCGACTGGTAAATTTTTGTTCGACAGTCCATTGTGGGCTTACCTCACTTACTTCTTTGGTAACTCAACCAGGTGAGAAGGTTGGCGGGGGATAAGAAAGAGAAATTTGAGAAGCTCATATACCTATACCTTAGGCCTTGGGAACTATCTGTAACTTTCAGTTCATGGGAATAGAAGTGCCAGAGCAATATGGCGGACCGGGAACATCCTTTTTTGATTCCATCCTTGTGGTCGAAGAATTAGCAAAGGTAAGTGAAAACTTCAAGTGTCCCAATTATTTAATCTTTTAGATCTGGGGTGCTTTCAGGTTGATCCGTCGGTATCTGTGTTCGTTGATGTACAAAATACCCTTGTAGCTCCACTGATCATAGAACATGGAACGGAAGAGCAAAAGCAGAAGTATCTGCCGAGGATTTGTGATGAATGGGTTAGTTTTTCTGCTCATAATCACTTGAAAGCACACAATCTGGTATCTGGTCTAGGAGCTGACCAATACCAAGAACCTATCATCATCATGATTTTTTCCATATTTTGCATACTTCTAGGTTGGATCTTTCTGTTTATCGGAGGTAGCATCGGGTTCCGACGCCTTTGCCATGAAGACAGTGGCGAAAAAAGACGGTGATGATTTTCTTATTACGGGCACAAAAACATGGATTACCAATGCAGGCCATGCTAGCTTCTTCTTGGTGAGATTTTCATTCTCTTATCTTTGTCGACTCCATGTATCCTCGCACAGGTATTCGCCAATGCTGATCCGTCCAAAAATTATAAAGGCATCACATGCTTTCTTGTTGACCGTAATGAGGAAGGTGTACAAGTTGAGCGTAAGGAGGACAAACTTGGTATACGGGCTTCATCGACTTGTCCTGTCCACTTTGAGAGTGTTCGCGTTCCAAAATCCGCAATACTTGGTGAATATGGTAAAGGTTAGTAAGCAGTATCGATCGTTAGCCACTGATCTTTCAGTTTTTTCTATTCTTTCGACTGCATTTTTGCTCCAGACTTTTTATATGAATATTGGTTGATAGGCCTCAACTGAACCGCGGTTCAAGCGGCAGCTCATAGGATTCATTCGCGGCCAGGAGGATCTGCATCAAACTTTCACCCTGTACCTCGCATCTTAGCGTCTCCTAGCACGATAGTGGTCGAAAGTTCGAAACTGAATTTCTCGGCCAAGAATGGATTATGAGCTGCCGATCGGGCAATCCATCCGCTCAAGGCTACCCAATCATTATCCACATAGAATTCTTCGTACTCAGATTTGCCTAGACATTGTCTCCAAAGTTTTGCAGGGTACAAGTACGCAATTGAGTGCTTGAATGGGGGTAGAATTGGTATTGGAGCGCAGATGGTAGGATTAGCTCAAGGTTGTTACGACAATGCTATACCTCATCTCCAAGAGCGAAAACAATTCGGGTCAAGGATCATTGATTTCCAGGTGAGGCATGAGCTCGCTAGGCTGTTTTCAGAGCATAAAAAAAGTCTCTTTTGATTGCAGGGCATTCAACATCAAATAGCCCAAGCAGCTGTAGAGATTGAAGCAGCTAGGTTACTCGTCTACAACGCAGCCAGAATGAAGGTATTTTGAAAGTTGTCGAGTTTAGGTATCTAAAAAAAGATGTTATAGGACAATGATATCAAGTACGTGAAAGAGGCGGCCATGGCCAAGCTCTATTCTTCTCAGGTATGCGCATTTTGAGAAACAATTGGTTTCTACTTTGAATCGAGAATCTTTTTTGATCATGGATGTTTTACTGGTGGAAATTGTGTGTGGTTTTCGTTCTACATATTCGTCGTGTTTAGGTAGCTACAAATGTGACATCTAAGTGCGTTGAATGGCTAGGAGGTATAGGTTTCACGAAAGAGTATCCCGTGGAAAAATTCTATCGCGATGCTAAAATTGGTAAGTTTGATAAGTACTCAATTTTTCCGTTCATTCATTCGCTTAAGCTACATTCCCCTTTAGGAACAATATACGAAGGAACCTCAAACATCCAACTGAATACTATTGCTAAATTGATTGATACGGAGTATAAACACCATTCATAAAGCATACGTTCGCTTTTTAGCTTGTACTTTCTGAAATCTCACCAATGTTTATGTTCCAATCTCAAACAATGTGCCCTACCTTTAGAACGCGTATTTGTATATGTGTATAATTGAATAGTTGTTTGTACTATTTATCTGTTTTGTGTGTTTTTGACAGAGTTTCTATAAATATCTCTATCTCAATATCAATCACCGGAATTAAACCCAGTATTCGCAACAATGCATCCATACAAGTTCTTCTTTCCGCTTGACAGCAGAGAAATAATGACCAAATGAAACAAGTACGCGAATCTGATTTATTAGCTGCAATCGGGCTTACGGTTTGCTCCTACAATGAAATACAGAGTTACTACCCCCCTTTAGATGAGAGGAAAATGAAGCAACGAATTTACAAACATTGTTACATAAGGGACGTTCTTCGACAAGAAGAGTGAGGTAGTGACCGGAATTTTTTGTGCAGGTCAAAAGCCAAGGGACCCGTCATACTTCGCGGGAAAAATCCAGAAGCGCCCAAAAAAGCCGGAAAAAGCCCGGAAGAGCCAGAACGCAGAAACGAACTTTTGGTAGAATTCTGACATTATTTTGATGACGACAGAAAATGAAAAAAGACTCGGTTGCGAAATCAACACAGCCTTAGCGTCAAAACAGAAGGGGCGTTTCGGCTCTTTCGGGCTTTTTTGAGCTTCGGGCTTTTTTCGGCGAAGTATGACGGGTCCCTAAGAGAGTTAGGGAGCACAAATCGTTTCCACAGCATCTAGAGTGTCATCTAGCTTCCGAAATTCTCTGCTGAATTTGGGAATCACTCAGCCAGGAGACGACATTACTGTATTGCAGTGGGATTCAAGACGTCAGGATCTTGCCCAAACAATCGAAAAGATGAACCTGTATCGATAATTCTTTAGATTTTTTAAGCTTGTGTCAACAGGAATGGCATCTGGTGCAGAAAGCATCTGATTAAGAAAACAAGTCTGAGAAAAACCTGTTGGTGTTTGAGCAAAGAAGCCACTATCACAAAAAGTTCTGTACGTTGCAGTGGAAGATATACGCGATTTATGACACGCAAAGACTGGGCGCCGTTCTGTCTGACGGAGAAAGTTCGTGCTGGGAGAGATAGTAGGTGGTAAGAGAAAAACAGCGCTCGATTACAGAGACGCCGGCACTTCTTTCATAGTCTTTGCCTGCTACGAATCGTCTGTAAGGGCCGCATGCACTAACATGGCCGCAGGGAGGGGATCGCAGCTTAAACGAAAGCTTCATATTTCGAAACTCCATATACTTGGATTTCACATTGTGTACCTATCCGTAAGTATTCCTACTGCCCTTTACTATGAACATGTTGAAGAGGAGCGAGAAGCTGTACGAACCGCATTTTCCAGCTCTAGTATGATCCCTGATGATCCCCGGCGCTTTTCTTTAAAGTCATTTTTCTTTCTCCGAAGTTAACGAAAAACTTCCAAAGTTGTGCAGATTATCTAACCCAACAGTGCTAAGCATGTTGCTGATAAAACAAATGATGTTTTGAAGTCATGAAATTTTCGATGATCCACAGGTCGGAATTTGGGGTATACCGAAAAATTCGATTTTTCAAAAACTCATTTGTTCTCATCAGCAACATGCTTAGCACTGTTGTGTTAGATTTTCAGTATAACTTTGGAAGGTTTTCGTTAACTTCGGAGAAAGAAAAATGACTTTGAAGAATAGATGTTCATCCCCCAGGGATCATCAGGGGATCCTACAAAAAGCTGGGAAATGCGGCTTGTACAGCTTCTCGCTTCTGCTCGATATGTTCATAGTAAAGGATGGTGGGAGTACTTACGGACAGGTAGACAGCGTGAAATCCAGATATCCGGAGCTTCAGGATATGAAGCTTTCTTCTGAAGCTGCGATCCCCTCCCTAGCGGAAATGTTAGTTCATGCGGCCCTAACACTGGCGGTCCCAAGGATATTTTGGCGAGGAGAAGGGGGCATGTTTTCACCCCTCCATAACTTTTGAGAATGTTTCGCGCCTATAAACCCGAAATTCTGTAAAAAGGGGTGTGGCCACAAGCGCCCCGGAAGAATTTTCCCGAGGCTGATGTAAATAGATACTTGAATATTTTCTCAAAAACTTAACTATCTATTTACAAAACGAATCACGAGCAAAATTATATGGCGTTGCTGTAGAATGCTAACGACAACAGGCGGCGTATTAACTTAACGGTATCACAGCAGGTCACGCTTATGGCATGACCTTTATTGTATAGGCGATTCGTAGCACGCAAAGACCGCGGACATATCGGCGTCTCACTGATCGAGCGCTTTTTCGTTTCTTTTAACATCTACTGTCTTTTCCATGCACAAGCTATCTTGGCCGGACTTAATGGCGCCCAGTTTTTGCGTGTCGTGAATTGTGTATACTTCGGAGAGTGAACATACGATTCCAAGGAAGTGCCGACAATGTCGGCACAAGGCCTGTTTTGTAAAGAATTGAGGAACCATAACTTTTTCTATCCCCCTCTTCTTTCAAAAATAGGATAGATGAAAGGGAGCACTCGGGAGCGACATGTAGTAGGCTGGGTTCATACTGACCCGTAAGTTCCACTTCCACAGCGCTCGAACTATGTGCTGTGCTGGAACTATTCCGGAACTTACAGGTCGGTATGAATCCAGCCGTACATATCCAGGTGCTAGGAGGAAGACCTGACAGCATAAATGTGTGGCAGTTCTAGTGACAAAAATTTTAAGGGGGGGGGGGGGGTGCTTTGAAGAGAGTTCTGGCTAGTTTATCAACCTAAAACTGCATTGCTCCTCGTAGTACCAATTTGAGTCTACAGTCTGTGTCAATCGTGTGCTCCCTCTTCCGTAGCAATTACATAGCCACGGGTGGCGGTCAAGATGAACGATAGCATGTGCCAGCCGCCAGCTGGGTACCGTACGCGGTGCGCTGGCCGCTCCGCCCCCTGCTAATTAGCCTAGGAATGCGTTGCAGCAATTAGAACACTCTCTAATACTTTGTTCATGCTTCTTCAGTTGGTTGCAATTTGGAAACAATAGATTTCAAAATTTTAATTGAATTGAGAATCAGTTTTCATATCATTTTCATTATAGAATTAGTTTGCAAGCTCTTTCTAATGTGTTTCAGTTATTTGTTCCTAGTAGGCTTGTCCAAAATGATTTTCCATTGCAGGTATGAGGAAATTGTTTCGAAAAGCTTGGAAAAGTGTTTTTCTCTATTTACATCTGTTACCATATTGAATATCCTTTGATGTGCACTCTCAAGTTCAGTTTTAAAAAATTCAGCTTATGAAATGAAACACCATTATATGTTTTATCGGAAAAGTAAGTTTTAAAACCCTAATCATAACTAAAAACAGATTTCATTGCGACGAGAATTTAAAACAAGCATTATAGGCGAATTTTGTTTCAAGCGGACTAACTCATTCTGAAAATATTGTAATTGGCTAACGTACGTTGACGTTGCCTTAGGCGTAGTTGTCGCCTTGGTAGGAATATCTGCAGGTGTGGACAATACACTGGCCTGGCAGATTTATTGAGTCAGACGACTTGTCCGCATTGGGACAGTGGTAGAATGCTGACGATTAAAGGCGTGGCAAAGTAACATAACAAACATCTGGGCTATAAACACACTCGTATCACAGCAGGTCATGCTTATGGCATGACCTTTACGGTAATCTGGCGAAAGAGTGATAGGCTACAAAGAGAGGTGCCGATTACATCGGCACACTGCGGCCGGCCATGTATGAAGCAGAAGAGGGAAGAAGAAGAAGAGGACATGATAAAAACACATCAAATAATCTACTCCATTTCGCACTTTCTTCTTTTTGTCTGGATAGAGCAGTGGTCGTTGTTGAGTGGCGCGTACAGTAAGTGTCTTGAGATCCGCGAAGTGTGAGCGGACGTGGCGACGACAGAAGGCAGATGGTTGGAATAACCAGATGATGAAATTTTTGTGATTATTATACTCAACACAATAGGATGATAAGGAATTGGGCTTAGAGATATCGTCAATGTGCACAGCAGTCTTGTATGGAAACGGAGCGGGAATTTGCTCATCATTGGAGAAGGCTGTATTCGCTTCTTCTGTTACTTGAAGTGCCATGACCTGTAGAGATGCCACAGCGTGGACGAGAAAGGTTGCGTCCGTGGATTGATCATCGTTGCCATCGACTATCTGCAGCTCGGTTTTTGGTGATTCTTCCGTTTTCACTGTCGCACAGCTGAGGCCACCCTCATCGATAATTGGGATGTCCGCTGTAGCACATTTCTGTTCTGTTTCGTCGTAAGCAGGTGAGCTATCTGTAGCAGAGAATTTCCTAGCGGATAAGGACACGTTATAATTATCTTCTTTGGTGTCTGGTTCCAAAAAATGCTCGTCTCTGTTGATACTGAACGATTTTTTACGTTCCAGTCTGGACAGTTCTATCTTTGCCTTTGACTCACATTCTTCTAGTGTGTAAATAAACATTTCGGCATCATTAGTGATTTGACTTATCTCTCTGTTGAGCGAATCCAAATCTTCTGCCATCCGCTGCCTCGTAAATCTGCACTTCTCGCTTTTGTAAAGTTTCTTGAGCAACTCGGTCTTCGATCGTGCCAGTTGTGAGCTCAGGATGATGTCGAAGATGCACTTTGGTAGTACGTGCAGCTTGTCGACGCAAACTTTTCGTCGCTCCTATTCATCGTCTGGAAATAATGTTTTCTCACCATAGCTCGCGTACTGTCGTAGTATTAGGTTGTGTAATAAGTTCTGTCCCATTTTTTCTTTCGATTTTTTCTCAATATTTTGCGCGATGTTCTGTAAATTGTTTACATGCATTTGAAAGCTCTAAGCCTTCTTTACTAAAACTTTCATTTCGCTTTTCTACATCAGATGACTTGCAAAAGTTTTACAGCTTCAAACTGGAAAAATCAAACAGGGAAAAAGTCCATTTTCGACAACTACGTTACGTCGACTTCCTAATTAGTCAGAATGGCTACGAGTAACCTCGAAGAATGCTACACGTAAGCAAAGAATGCTCTAGCTTCTTTTGCGCTTCAGGAGTGCTGGAACTTTTCGAAAATCATTTCTGTAGACTTTAGGAAAGTCTTCATTCTAACGCCTTTTCAACGTTGGTGTTGGGCATCATCTGAAGGCATCCTGAAGGAAGACGGTAGGCGGATCATCCAGAAGAGACAGAAGGGATGGTTGTGGGTTCAAAATCATAGAGTTCGTAGGTCAAATACTTAAAATTCGAATTTTGGAAGCCGCATAGCTTGGGTACGCGAGACGGCGAACATCGCCGTGACAAAGTCTTTTCTTGCCGACTTTCAAAAAAAATGTCATTAAATAGCCGGTGGAAAAATGGGAATATGCGCAAACAGTGATAGATTAAGTGTAAAAGTCTAATAGATTGTTTTGGCTGTTGTCAAGCTTGTTCAGTAAGTTTTACCAATAAAAATCCAGAAAAATTTGGAGGAAGAAAGATGTCGAAAATTGATTTTCCGGCTCTTTGGATTTTTTGTTTCAAAGATAAAAATCATTTTCAATTTCCTGCTATGTTGGGGTGTGATGCATATGAGCCTGCAGAGCAGACTTAGAGCTTCAAAAAGTATATACAGTTTATCTCAAATATAGCCAATGTTGTCAAGAAAAAACTAAAACAAAAAATGGGACAGAACTTATTACACGACCTAATAGTTCCGCGAGTCTTTTGGCGTGTATTCTCACATCCTCCATATGGTGATGTAAAGTCGGAATTGCTCCATTGTGGCTTCTATCTTGTCCTTGGAAGCGGAGCATGGTATCGGTCTTGTTTAGTCGATGCACCAGAAATGTAATTGGCTAACGTACGTTGACGTTGCCTTAGGCGTAGTTGTCGCCTTGGTAGGAATATCTGCAGGTGTGGACAATACACTGGCCTGGCAGATTTATTGAGTCAGACGACTTGTCCGCATTGGGACAGTGGTAGAATGCTGACGATTAAAGGCGTGGCAAAGTAACATAACAAACATCTGGGCTATAAACACACTCGTATCACAGCAGGTCATGCTTATGGCATGACCTTTACGGTAATCTGGCGAAAGAGTGATAGGCTACAAAGAGAGGTGCCGATTACATCGGCACAGCGTCATACATGCGTCGTCACATAAATTTTCTTAGGTTTCAGGAAAATCATACTACACCTATATATTTCCGAAACTGCCTTAAATAAAAAAATTCTTTTATTTTGCTTCCAACAACTGCTCTACTCAGTATAAATCGATCTGTAACTCAGTCGAGATTGCGTGTGAACTAGTCGTAAGATGTGAGGTCACTCAGACAATCATGCCTGAGATGTTCTAGATTGATTTCACACTTCAAAGTTCGATATCCAGGAGTCACTCGGTCATTCATAGGTAAATCAGCAAATCTCTCGAATTTCACTACCAAAGCCTCAGCTGTTCATTGATTGCCAAAGAAGAAACTAAAAATCAAACAAGATTCTGTAAACAAGTCAAGCTTCACCCCAGCTTGCAACAAGCTTATATCTCACTATCAAAAGTTATTTTTACTTGACATATCGTCCGAGAAACTCGTCCGCTGCAGTGGGGCGGAGCTTCGAGCGAACACGTTATTACCAGTTCATGACCCCGCGCGCCACTGTTACCAGCTATCGTTCATCTTGACATATACCCCCCCCCCCCCCTATGGCTATGCCACAGCGCGTGGGCACTGCGCAGATCGTGATAGAAGCTGCAAGCTTGCCTCAAGCGATACGCTCGCGAACTCGGCACTCCTGCTCCAACATTGCGCGTGAGCTGATCGAAAAGAGAAAACATTATTGACATAAACTGTACCTATAATCCTGAGCGGGAAACGGTCCTTTTGAACCGCTCGCTATCACAGCGAGCCTCTGATTGGTTAACATGTCCACAACCACTGAGAAGGCTATGAGTAGGACGGAGCATTATTTTTCTACATCTTTCATGTCCAACATGATGATAGGTTTTGGCACAAGTATATTACATGCTTTAAACTAAGAATTTTCCGTTGACTGTGAATGCGACTTGTTAGTTTTGCCAGCGGCGCCACATGCGGCGAAACGGGCATCGCGCGCGAAGGGTGTAAAAGGGCCTGCACCCATCCTGGAATGATATCCACGAAAGTCCCCGCGAAATGGGCTTTTCGTGCGAATAAAATGGACTTAGTCCATGCGGTGCGATAAGATATCGCATTCGCGAATCCATTAATTCATTACAAAATTCTTCAGCAAACCTTTCTCCAACTTGCCTCAACCTGTTTGCTCACTCTTGCAAACTTATTTCTACTAAGTGGTCGGTATCTAACTAGGGCTGACCTAACATTACGATGACAGTCGCATGAATATTGTATGCTTTCACACTTCATTATACATCAAAAAATGCCATTTGTTATCGATAACTATGCATCGAAAACATCTTCAAGAATAGAATTCACATAATATCCGGGCCTTCGCTTCTCAAGACTTCTACGGATCTGCTTTAAGTCAAATTCGTATGTAGAGCTTTCTGGGGAAAGCAAACTTTGGCTATATAGACTTGCACTGCAATCTGTGAGGCTCCCGCTAGAGTGCCGAAGTTATGCCAGCGCTACGCCAGCATTTCGATCGATACACGTGTATTTCGTTGGGGACGTCAGCTAGCCCCGCCCCAACGAAATACACGTGTATCGATCGAAATGCTGGCGTAGCGCTGGCATAACTTCGGCACTCTGGCGGGAGCCTGAAGCAAAATGCTTATCTCGTAGGAAACCTTGCCCTACAACCCAAAGGATTCTTCAAATCGGAAAACTACGAGTCACAAAGGATGACTTCGCAAATGTTCTACTTTAGCTCTTCTTTGTCTTTCAGCATTAATGTTCATATCTCTAAGTAATTGAATGTATGGACTATTGCTAGTAGAAAATTTTTCACAAAATTTTTCTTGCTAGCTAGCGACATTTCAGTAATTCTTGCGACCAATCTCAAAATCGCGTTTGAAATGCCGTCTTTGAGGTTCGGTTCTACGAGAATAGTCAAAAGATAGCTTCTGAGTAATTGTATTAAAACGCAAATCTTTCTTATTCTCAAATACAAATCATTAATTTGGTTTTGTTGGTAATTTGAAGAGTTAACAAACTTTATTCGATTTACATAGGAACATTCGCACCGACCTGATATTTGGAAGCATTCGAGTTTGTTAGCGAATATTTTGGTGAATTTAACCTTCTTCCATGATTTTTATAGCGTTTGTATGAGTTTAGAAAGAAACACTTATTTCAGACTTCATAAATGACAGGAAACTTTTTCCACTCACTTGTTACCTTAGAATGAGCTGAGGAACACATTCTCAAAAAATCGCCATCAAAAATATACAAAAAGGTCAAAAATGGGCTTAGTCCCAGCTCACCTTGCTGCTGGGAGTAAAATAGGCTTTCAAGTCCATTTAAAATGGAGGTAAATCCCATTTTGCCCCATTCTAAATGGACTTTTCGCATGATTCTTTCGCAAGAGAGAACTCAAGTAGGGTTGAATCATTTTCATCACACCGCTTTGCCTCGTGGTTGCGGTGAGATAAAAATTCTTGGATACCGCTAGCGAAAGGAGATTGCGACCAGTTTCTACCGCGAACGACTAAAATGGGGTTTGGAAGTCCATTTTCCTCCATTATGGACTTTCGTGGATATCATTCCTGAGCTCCTTCGTCACTTTTCACAAGTACGCAAAGAACGTGAAATAACTGTAGTGTCAGCCAATGTGTGCAGTTGCACATGCTATTTTACTCGACGCACTTTAAGGTTGTGGCACAAGTTTATTTATTTTTTTCACTAAAAGCCAGCTCCAGTTCATTCCTTGCCTTGTGCTTATTTGATCACAATATTTGTAATTTGTGGTCACACTACTTACAAATTTTATCACCTTCATTGTTTCAGAATGGTGTCATTAAAATCAACCAAGTCAAAACCTGCAGCTAGTCGTACTTCTCGTCATAAAAAGAAATATTGGAGAAAAGGGATTGACATGAATGTCATTGGGAAAAGCATCCGTAAATTTTTGCGAAATTAAAGCATGACTGAGTTATTTCGAAGTATTTTCTTTTAAGATGATGTTGTTCAACGACCTAAACCGGCGGATACTCCCGATGGTGAACTTATTGCAATTGATCGAACACCATCTAGCGAAGTAAAGAAGTTTACGAAACGGCAACAAGCCGCTTTGGATAAAATCTCAAAGAGTATAAGGTAGGTCAAGTTCTTGATCAAGTTATGAAAAATACTTTACCTGAATTCTCATTTTCGGGCCGTTTCCGCAATAAAGCAAGCCTTATCTTATGTGCTCTGTTCCTTTCCAAAGGTTTCTTCTTTTAGTGAGCCAGAGAAATTACCATTACCTCCTCCAAAATGTCCGTCACTCAAGAAGCAACCGAAGTTGAAGCAGCCAGTACAGCATAAGGAAAAAGTACAAAAGAAGCAAGATGCTCCAAGCTACGATTTGTGGGATAAAGGTATCTTCAAATTGCAAATTTTTGGTCGTTTTTCTTGGAATTTTCTTTGTAATGATAATGAGAGGAGGTAGCTTTTGCTGAGAATTGCTCTCTTTCTAGATTTCGAACCTAAAGTGGACTTGGAATATAAGGAAGCAGGTGAACATATGCTCCTTTACACGAAGAGAAAGCTTCCACACAAACCAGTAACGGCAAGTTTCAAACCAAGTTTGCTCGACCACGTCGCGCTTCCTGACGCCGGTACCTCGTACAACCCGAAAGCAGAAGATTACGAAGTATGCACCCATATTTTTTTCTTTTCTCTTTTACAACCTAATTTTCCCTTTTTTACTTTCGAGTTCTTGCATAACTTGATTCCTCTTTGTAGAAATATGTGATGAAGATTGCCCAAGATGAAACAAAATTGATATTAGAAGAGGAGAAGATTGAAAGAGGAAGAAAACCCAAGTACGAAAGCGTCGTAACATACGTGGGTTTTGCGCATAGTCTCCTTTTTATCCTATTTAGTCAAGCTTTTCTTTTCAGGAAGAGAAGAGCTTAGAAGAGACAGAAGGGTTGGTTATTGATCCTCGCTACAGTGCTGAAGATGAGAGTAGTACGAAAGAAGAAGTCAGTAAAGAAGAATCTGAAGAAAGTATGGATACAGGTACGCGTAATCCATTCACTGCTTTTTCTGTTTTACCCTTGCTAATGATAGACTGTTAGTCTTGTTTTGTTCTTCACGTGTGTTGCGAACATGTCTTATTTCTTTATGCTAATTTGAGGCTTCAATCCCATTTTTTTTTCATTTTTACAGAGCTTTTGATGTCATTGGTAAAAGTTTGGTAGTCTTACGAGGGAACAGTGTTGTTTGTTTCTTCGTTTTTTCCAACAATATGAGGCTTATAGGTGAAAAAGTGGTTATTTCGCATCTGAAACGCAAAACGCGGAAGCAGAAGCAGAATGCTTTGAAAGAGAAGAAACTTGTTCGAGAACAGAAGCGACGGAAAGAAATCGAGAAGAAACAGCACGATGTTTTCAAGTGAGGGCATCATTAGTTTCTTTCGCTATTCATAGGATAAAACTGAATACGCTGATCTATGGCTTTCAGAGCGAAGAGTATCAATAAAGCGCTCGCAAAGACCGAACAAGAGATAGCAGAGAACGCAGCCAAACGAAAAAAGGAGAAATTTTTGAAGAAGGTAAGCGAGTTACTGTTCAACTTCGATAGCAAAAAATCTACCACAGATGACTGGCCGACAAAAATTGGGAGGCGGAGAGTTCAAAGATGAAGAGGAGCCATTTTTACTACAGGTACAAATCTTTTTCCTGCGTTTGACACATATTTCAAAGTCGTGTATGTTTTACTACTACTTTTCTTGCTTTGAATAGGTGTGCGCCATAACTTGTGTAGCTTAGTGGAATGATCCATTTCAGTTTTGTTCTGTAACTAGACCCCCAATTCTATTGCGCATTGTCGTTAAAGATTTAAAACAAGAACCATTTAGGAGGAACTACCAGATAGTCTTCGCAAGCTGAAGCCACAAGGTCATGTACTAAATGATCGACTAGCAAGCTTGCAAAAGAGAAACATTTTGCCAATTGGTGGTCCTAAGAATAAGAATAAGTTGAAGACGAAGCTGAAGGTGAGGTTTCGCGCTTTGCTGTGGGTACTCTCTTGTGCATGGTTTGAACAGCGAGAGTGCTTAATTGAATGATTTCGATGTTTCAAATTCCTACCCAATCTCTTTCTGGAATGAACATGACACTTTTGTTGACATGTGAATGCTGCTTCAACTTCATCTTTTTTAGCGCAAATTTGTCGAGAAGCGATTAGTCCAAGAGGTCAAGAAAGGAAGTCGCGTCATGTGAACTGGCTGACATTGTTTATGCTGTTGTTTTTGTCTGTTTATTGTTGATTTGCATTGTTAAATGATCCTTTTTGTTGCCATTAAATGATTATATTTACTCTATATAAATTAATAAAAACATATATTTATGAGTTAGTGAACCTCGAGAATTTGAGCACAATGGGCGAGTATATATGAATCTGTCGACGAGCTCATTTCAACTGTTTCACTTTTATCCGCGTCATCTGTCGGCAACGAGAAGTTTGTTAGTAGTCCGTGCAATGCAGCGCAAGGCGTACCGCGGAGTTTGTGGGTACTCGACCGCATTTATGTGCTGTCTTTCACTGATACCGCAGTGACGAACATCGCAAACCCCAGCCTTCCACTAAATGAAACTCGGAATTTTTGTTTTTGAAAGGCACCGTCCACCCTAAGTTGAAGGTCTTGAGCTTTTGGCAGCATATGATATCAGGGCCCCCTATCAAGCCAATCCCCCAACTTGCAACTCAGAATGTCGCTTCAGATTCGAGAAAATCGCTCCGGAACAACGAAGATGCACGAGGACCCCAGACGGTACCGCCCTCCCCGTCCATGCCCTCCCATCCGGGCACGCCCAGCCAATCACCGTTCCGGTAAGCCGGTTGCGGGTTCTCCGAAAGGAGATTTTGGCGTTTTCGTGGATTCTCGACTTCATAGTCGGAATCAGGAACATGAGAAGGCCCCGAAACGATCAAAACATGGAAGTCGAGAATCTGGGTGGACGGTGCCTTTAGTGTAATGGTTTATATCAAATAAACAGCACTTTTCTATTCCTTATCGAAAACTCCATGAGGTTTTGAAGTAAGCTTCATTTTTACATTTGGTCGCTCATGCAGGTTGTAGAAAAGACGTGGGTCATTGCCGCATGCACATCATTTAACGGCAGGAAACTGTGGATCTTGATAATCCTCAAAGGGCTGTGATTCTGCCCCTCTGCCCATACTTTCCACACTTGTCCCATTCTCTCTTTTGCTATGATATAATAACGGATAGGGGTGCTAAGTTGCTGTCATCCGGATCGGATCCGCACAGGCCTCTGCTAGCCGCTCGACCAACGCAGGGACTCTACAAGCACAAAAATGGTCCAGACGAAGTGAGCCTCATATCATGTGGCGGTGTTTCATCGGATCCGGATCGCGGGCCATTATTGGCTACCCTTATGTCAACGCATTGACTTTTTTGCAATTAGTACAGTTACAATAAGCAATTAGTTTCTCCATAATATATGTAGCATTAAATACCCTTTGCAGGCGGTTTTGGTTGTTTACTATATCTCAAATAGCTTTGCTGACTGTCATTCTGCAGTATCTCAATTCACCTTTGCCGTTTTGCTATAGACTGATTGGGTGAGTTTGCCCCTCCCGTTGAGACCATTGAGAAGATTTGCCATCTTGGAAATGTGCAACATGTGCATGTTATTAAAGCATCCGAAGCCAAACATATACATTTTTAGTGAGTCAGAACGCATATGTATTACTGCAAACAGTTCAACATGTCATATATGGGTAGAAGGTCAAGTTCGATTTATACCTCAAGGCCTAGTCTACAGGTATGTAGATTCGCCAAATTATCAAGAGGAGAATTCGTAATGATTTGTGCCCGGGCTTTCTGGCGCTTTCAGAAATACCCATCCCAGAACCGTGCCAGCACTGCACCGGAACTGTACCGGCGCGGTCGATCAATCAATATGGGCGCTAGCACGGTTTTGAAATGCGCTGAAGCGCCGCTGCTGTTTGGGCAACACTGAACGAAACTTCGATAAAGCAGGTGTACGATTGTATCTACTAATATTTAGGTCCCCAGACCGTATATGTACGTCGCAAATGATATGGTTGATGAAGGCATTAGTGTACACTAGCTTCACCATGATATTGTGGCAGATAGTTTCCAGAAAACAAAACGGAGGCGTTACACCCAATGGAGTTGCTTTTAGCTATTTCACTCTCATAGGTAAGGAGACAGAGTTGCTGCGTGCCAATGTCGTGCCAGTTCCGCACTCGCCACGTCATGGAACGCGCGTGGAGCTCTGGCTTCAATCGATCGATCTCGCCGGCTGATTCGCACGGCGCCAGCATAGCGCTAGCACGATGGGACGGCGCTGGCACGGGCATTGGACTGTGCTCAAATTCACCTTTCTCCAAGTGTCTATGTAGAAAATTCATTTGAGCCACAATATCAATATTTCTTCTCAATTCTTATATGAAATGTGACTGGAGGCAATATTGGAAGGAAGCTGCTGCAATGAGCAATTTTTCAAATTCCATACGTCACGAGCCGATTCTCTACCTTATAGTATCTCTATTTGTTATACAATCGCTAAGCTTTCTCGACAATTTCCAACAACTCTATGGAAAAACTTGGAGTCATTGGTGATGAGCACGGCTGTTGAACGCTCAGGAAATTACATTTGATCAGGATCAATTCATCAATTAAGTTAGAGTGCTGTCAAAGCACTCCCAAGTGTATTAACAAACTTCTTGATATTTTATTGTGATTTATCGCAACTGTGATAAAGTTTTGCACGCAACTCCGTCTTATGGGTTAAAGAACACATAGAAGTGATTTTTTCTAAAGCAGATTTACTTACAAAATCAGCACATTAAAAATATGAGGGTAAGTGTGAAAAGCAGCTTATGTTGCTAAAAATTCCAGATTTTTTGCGAAAAATAAAAAATCAAGAAAAATCATGGAGGATTAACAAACTAGTTACTTTTACAAAAACCAATGTTTTACTCTTACTGAAATTGAGAAACAAAAATTGCGAAAACAATCAGCATTTAAAATGCATTTATAGTTTGAAGAACGGGTATCCTACTAATATAAAGTTCTGGATGCATATCATTGCAAAGCAAATGTAATGTCAATCAAATATTAGTAGATGAAAACTATCAATTGGGCTTTTAACGTATTAGGTTGTCTGTAAGTTTTTTTCAATTTCGTCTTTTCACCGCAATAAGTCGCACCCTTTTCAGTTCTGATCAGAATGCAGGATACCTTTCGACAGACCAAAGCAAGCTCTATGGGATGGCCTGTAACTGTTCGCACGAGCTTCAGTACATCACAGAAGACGAAATCTGAGAACTTACGGATGCCCGAAAATTTGAAAACTTTTCGCCCGAAAATTTGAAAACTTCTCGTATCTCTGTCCAAAGGCAACTTAGCAGACCCCAAACTTGCTCACACACTTGGACAACATATAAGACATTCGTATGTGCCTTTGCTGTATTTGTTTCTGTGCTAAAAACCGAGAAAACTGAAATTCTCAAGCTTTGAAAAAAACGATGCTGCGCTGTTCTCACATAAATAAATGTATACCACGAGGCTTTAGGAGTACGATCACAGATATTCACCTTTGCGTAATCTGTAGTTCCCGAGAAGTATTGATCTCAACGTAAAATATCAAAGAATTTAGAATTTATGAAAGAATTTCGTGCCAATCGAGAGCAATTTTGATTATTGTAATATTTCCGGATTTTCGGGTCTGCGTTTTTCACGAAAATCAAAATTGCTCTCGATTGGCACGATTTTTGCTAGCTAGAAACCTTTTTTGAGCACGCTTAAGAATTGCAAAACTGAAGTAACAACCCTATTTACTTCTAACTCTCCATCTTTTTCATTTTAACTTGTGGGAAAGACACCACAACAAAGAGCATAATTTTCTCTACCAAATAAAGATACTTTCAGAATTTTTTGTGACCATGCTTGAAAAATGCGAATCTTGAGAAATTTTCTTCAGTTGCTTTTAAATCTCGAACTTTCTCAATTTCATGGCAAAGGTGCTGCTGTAAAGAGAATGGTGTCCGCTTTCAGATGAGTATAAACTCAAAGAAATCCATTCAGTCGAAAAGAAGTAATTGGCAAACGAACTTTTGGTCCTACCTAATAGATGTAAATTTTTTATTTGAGCACTAGCTATTGATGTCATTTCTAATATTCATGTGATTTCCTATCTGGGATCAAAAGAAATGTTGCCGACGACACATGTTTATACAGAGGCATTCACAATCCAAAAAGTCATGGAATATTCGATTGGAAAATGAAAAATCCCGTATAGACATAACAAATTCAGAAACTTCCCTTCCTATCTTTACTATCTCAAAGACTTCACGCACACTTTATTGCTACCAAATGCGCTACCGGCATTCCATGGTTTCTTTTAGTTGCTAAAAAAATCTTCAGTGATCAAGTTGCCAAAAAAGATAAAAGAGATTGAGCCATTTATTTACATCAAAGACGAATGGTGGAATTTTTTTCTCAGCAGAGGGCAGGTCTACCACAGCACAAGATAAGCATTTGACGAGAACTGGTCCTCAAGCAGTGAATCATGTATAATTTAAGTGTGCCACTCAGGAGCTCACACAGGAGAATTTTTTTCCATGGACTTTTTTTTCATAACATTGCAGGCCTTTATCAAGTCATGAACGTGAAGTACTTGAGCCTCACGGTCCTTAGTGATAAAAATTACCTTAAATACACTACGGAGACCATTTATCGTTAACGCTTGTTTAGATTAACTCTTAGCAATGACCAAAAACACCCAAAACTAGACATTTCTCCAATAGCCTCAGCTAAAACCGACAATAATAATAATCGACACTATAATCGACAAAACGAATCACACTTTATACATTTATCACATATTGCATAGAACATTTGAGCATCAACAATATCTTGCTGCCATCTACAACCCCTATAGAATCTACTACATTGTAAAACAACTTAAAAATATCAGTAGAATGCATAGAATAATCAATTTACGCAAAACTGCCTAAATTCACTAAAAAATCACATCTCGACAAGCAAAGGTTCATATATACATTAGCTGCAATTTATTAAATATCCACAAACAAATGCTATATTTTATCACAAAGAATGCAGTACTCATTACCTTGCCTAATCAGACATGAAATGATAGTACTGCACACTTTGAGCCTATTGCACCATTCTCCAAATTCATACCCATACGTTAAAGTGTCGAATATTAAGAGAATATTAAAAGAACTTAGTAAATAAGACAATTTATACAGTCAGATTATTCGCACTTTTCACGAAGCTGCCTTTCCAAATGAGTTGAAATCCATGGTTAATTTGATCGTTGGCTGCTGTGTAAGATGCATTGTCTAAAAAATGTTAATATCATACGAATCAAATGTGCGAATGATGTAAAATTTGGAATTTTCCTAAAGGAAAAGGACTCCAAAATCTCCAGGAGGAAGGCTTAAAAGCAGCGACCAGGCGGAATTTCGTTTTCCAGGTCTTCAGCTCTTCGGAGCCTCCTCGCCATGAGGAACCCATATCTGAGCTTTTTCGCGCATGAAAATGGCAAAAATGCGCTTTTTCCGAAGTTTTTTGGACCCGCATCAGTGAAGATATGCCGGAAAAGCCGCGGCCCGCCTTTTTCGTTCCAAGCCCCGCCCACTTCTGCACTAAAGGCTGATGGCAAGAAGGCTCCGGAAAGGTGAAGAACTGGAAAACAAAATTCTGCCGAGCCGCTGCCTTCAAGGCAAATATATACCTCTGTCTTCCCCCCCCCCCCCTACACTCGCGTCCAAAACTGTAGAGAACGCTGATGGGTCCCTCAAAAAACCGATCTGGGCGACAGTTTGAAGCTGAATTTTTAGCCATGAACTGATCAAATGAGCTGCCGCTTGAGCATTGGCCTAAGTAGGGTTTCCCTTTCCCCCAGTCAATTTCCGCATGAGCAAGGAGTCAGGTATATCTTTTTGGACCCCTCTAAAGGCAATCAAGGTTTAGTGAACAGGTGAACACTACATTCTCATTTTTCAATTGTATATATTTCTATATATGAGAAATCGTGAATACGAACAAATGTAAGAAAAGTTATTGCAAAAATGGTTCTACCTTCGATTCCGCAGCAACAGCCTTTGCCTTTGCTACTTGTTGAGCTTGTACTTGTCGATTGGATTGGAACAAGAGCGCACTTTCCAATCGTTTCTTCAAAGTGGGATGGCAAGCCAGCACCTGTAATGGGATGCTCAGTTCGACTTTCCCCAGAATTAAAACAAAAATCTCAGCTCACCTGCTTAAATTCTACTGGCCATGTCGGTGCGACCGCATTCAACCGTTGCATAGCAAATTCATGAAGTCTTCTGGCTGGTTGGCTCAATAACCTCCATTCGTCGGCGGTTGTGGCACATAGCAAACGACATAGAGACTGTGTAAGCAAAGAAACAAGCTGTAGTTCTGAAAAACAAAAGCACAATAAGATAAAAATCTGATGAAATGGCGCTGTTAACTTTAGACTCACTTCTCTTCTCATCTGCTACAGTAACTAACACTTCTATGGCTCTTAGCGCGTCTTGGACTACTGGCAGTTGCTCTTCCGATATTTCCTAGAATAAATCGAAGTAGAAAACATACATGAGACGCTTCGTGCGATGTGATGGCACTTACTTTGACCTTCGTTTCAACATTATCTCCGGTCACCATTGGTCGAATAATTTCGAAAACATCTCTTCCCAGAGATGAAATGAACGGACCATTGATATCACGACGAGCGAAGAGGGATGACAATGACTGGAGGGTTTTAGAAACAATCTGAAAGGAAAATGAAATTCACTGTGCTTGATAAGAAGTTTGGAAAAACAGAAAACTACCTGTGGATGCTCGCTTTGTAGTTGTGATCGGATTAATCGGACCAGTCTGTGGAAACTTTCCCGGTGACCAAGCAGTACTTGTTTTGGAGCTACAGAAGTCAACACCACGCAAGAGAGCATCAGTACACATTCGTCCTTGCGATATTCACCTTAAATTAAACATTCTTCAGCACCAGTTATTGATGGAAAACATTGTTCAGCATAAATTACTGATGATTGTGTTCGGTAACTCAATTATATGGCGATGGCGCAACGCCGATATGGCAGAATGTGAATTTCGGCTATTAAATCCAATAAAAATGATGCAATTTTCTAGGGCAGAGGAAAAAATCTACTATGCGTTAATCACAAAAAGAACGTTGGCACTTTCTGTATTTATTGTAAAACATGCCACTACACAGAACTTCTCTACAACAATCTGTGCTTTGCAGAAGCTAAACAAACATCATAAAAAACCATCGCACTGTACAGATTAATTAGTGGTAATTTGAGCAAAAAGAGCTCCCTTGAAAAATGGGAGAAGAGAAAAAACTCAAACTCACCATCACAAAGCAGTAGTATGGAATATAGAGCGCTTTGCATCATGGCGATCCAAGCAGAAAGCGTAGCATCAGATGGTGGTGAGGATGCTAAGTTACGCAGAGCCTGAAAGAGGCAACAGTGTTGGAATATACTCGCTGATGAGTTTGAACTCCAAATAAATAATGGCTCAAAATAAAAAGTATAGACTGTCTTCACCTGCAATGCAGTCGTAGCAACGCTTGTCAAATGTCCGGGTGGCAGATCAGGAACAACGCTATTCTCGTCCACTCGAGCTGATTCACGAATGAATCCGATAATGAGGTAGAGTACACTTGGTAAGATAATGAGACGTCCCTTAGATGAACAGAGCGATGGCACCTAGAAAAGCAATCAGTGCACATATCGGTCAAATGTACAAAAACTTACATTTACAAGCAACTGTATTCCGCTTCTGATAAGGTTGGCGCTTTCGACAGGTAGTCTACCAAATCGTCGCATGTGCAACGGCGCTAACGATTTGCTCTTCATCTGGGCTGAGTTGATTTGCGGCATCTAGAAACAACCTAATTCGAACCGAAAAAAAGGAACCTGAATCAAATGATTCTTACCTGCCGCACCATTACGCACAAGCACAGCTCCATCATTGCAAACGTCAACGTGGTACCCTGTCCTATACCCTCATCGCCTTCTCCACCCGGATACAAATTCTTCGGTCGCTCATCCGTGTCCGTGGTACTTGGCAAATTACCATTTTCGATGTCTGAACAATAAACAGTATAAAAAAAGTCCAGGAATATACTTCTAAAGACATCGTACCTTCGCTGGCCATAACCCGCATGGAACAATGAGCTGCATCAAGGATGGCATGTGCACAATCCACACAAAGATGTTGAGTAGCTAGATTGTCCCGCGTTAGGATAAGTCTGGAAAAGAACAGTAGAAATTGTTCAATCACTTCATTTTGAAAGATATGAACAAGGAAAAAGATAAAGAAATTTCTGATAGGAGGAATCAGAGTATTTGCTAGATGGAACTGAGACCAATTCGATCAAAAATTACTTTGCTTGATCTAGCATTGAATGAAATGCTTACCGATGCAGAACATTGCACAACTCAATTGCCAATCGTATGTCGGACATTAGTTGTAGCTGGCACCATTCACATTGTAGTAATGCATGGATAGCTCGAACACAGCTCTGTAAGTACGTTGTCTTATGTGCTTGTCTATTTGCAATGCCAAAGTGCTTTTTTTTTCGCAGTAAATCAAAGTTGCAGCCCATTAACACCACAGCGTTGAGCGTTGGCTCACAACAGTTTTTGACAACTTTGAATATTTATTGTAGGTACTCCTTTGATTCAAAGGACAGAATGCAAGAATTGAAGTACTTACTTGAATGGTATGATCATCCGCATAGGTGGTCCTGCTGCATAACGCTTCAACAGCAATTCCCATCATGAGATGGAATCTGGATTCTCGCCGATTATCCGGCCAAGTTTGAGGAGCCTGAAGAAGAGATATTGAACTGCTTGGGATATACGGTCATATATACACGACTAAAATAGACAGTGAAGTCGCGCCCACCTCAGCATTTTCGGGCAGTTCGAAATTAGATTTGCTCAGCCAGATGGCTAGCGCGAGCAGAATCGGAGGCCAGCTGGACCGATAGTATTCTCGGCAAGCCTACAAAACCATGATTTCTCCACGTAAACCCACTTTTCCTAGGGATCTTACATCAGCGCTCTCTGCCTTGTAAAATGCTCCTCCTCCCGAAGGCATTTGGTCAGCAAATTGAGCCGGAAGCGATAGCAATGCGGAGTCGCGAAGTGCAGCCAACCAATAGCAAACAAGTGAGTCAAGCTCAGGACGGACTAGCGATAAGAGACTCTCGGATGAGTTCATGTAGCTCATATCTTCATCATCTACAAAACGAAAACCAAGGGAGAATTAGAGGAAAATAAAATTGTTCGTTACTTACCTCCCGCAGCATCTTTCTTGTTTTGCAAATGCTCTTCTTGTTGTATAGCGGTCACATAAACCTCTGCCCAAGCTTTGAGTATGGAGAGCTTTTCCAGTGTAGCTGCACTCTCGCTGTAGAGCTGGTTGTTAATGGAACCGTGTTTCAGCTTGCCCAGAGAAGAAACCAATAGCTATAACATTTACCGTGAAACCTAGTTTTGAACTACACAAACAGGGTAGATACCTGGTGCACTCGACGAAGGTCATTCAAATCTCTCGCTACACCGCTGCCGATCCAAGTGCTACACACTTGACAAGCTGCTGCAGTTACATGGCTAGGTGTGTCTTCCGTAAATGCCGGTCGAAGTGCTGCACCAACCTGGAAATAGTAGTTTTCCTATTCAAAAAATTGCCAAATTTACGAGTCGAAATATCACAATAATGACTAAATGACCGTGACAGCTCAATAAATCATCACAACGAAGATAACCATTCCATTTCTTCGAATAAATCTCTACACAAACAAAATTCGAGAGTTTAGGACAGATGACTGGGGCATATCGTCTCATAGAGACAAGACTGTGCGGAAATTATGTGCATGCAATCAAGAGAACCAATCCCCTGTGATGCTCATTTTTTGGGAAAAAAGGCCCAGATATTTCAAAAATGCATTACCATTTTTTGTGAAAGGAAAAATCAGCAAAGCCAAACGAATGGACTCAGAAAATGTCACTTCACATTATCATGCAAACTCTCTTCCAAATATGGTGACGAACCTGTGCTTGGAATTGCTCCAGAATCACATGCCCTGGAAACTCTGGTTCTGGCACTGTGGAGAAACGAGTGATTACATCCTGAACAAAACAAAATCCAGATCACTCAACAAATGCATTTGGAAGCGAAGAAGCTCGTGATCACCTGAAGGGAGTTCAATCCAGCCAGCCGCAACTCCGTATTGTCGCTGGTGGCTCCCATAAAAGACATTCTAACTAAATCCGACAGATGGAGTACAAGGTAGTCAACTCGCCCTCCTGAAAAGATATTCGCATAGTCGTGAATTCATCTAAGTTTAACCTCAGCCGTGGCTAACCAGATGACATTTGCAGCTCTTTCGCCAGCGACAGATCCAGATGAGCTCTCTCCGTATCGCAAACGCTCATTAGTCTTTGTACAACCTAATTTAAACAATGAATTATAAAATATTGAGATACAAACGGAAGGTAATTTCTGACCTGAGTGGCGAACACTCTGGTAGGCCAACGCGGCTGCACTTTGCCTTTGTCCGGGACACCTGCTCTTGGACCACCAACTTGGAGTGTAGCATCATCATCGTCGCCTCCCTCAAAAAGCAAAATTCATCCAAAGAATTTCTTGGTATAAAAATCTCAATAAGGGGATGATTCTTAGCAAAAATGTTGGAAACGGATTTTACGGACATGTACGGACATGGACAAAGAAAAAGGATTTTGAGAGGGAAGAAGAATTACAAAAACGACAAATTCTACAAAAAAAAATCATAAAACTAGAATTCACCTCTTCATCCTCTTCACCCTCTTTTCCTGCTTTTTCTTCTCCGACAAACATTGTACTTCTCGTGTTATCACTCGACGTAGCCAAAATATCTTTGCACAGCAGTAACCATTGATTCAGTAATTCGCCACTGGTTGCTTGCACCAGTGATATTATGGTTTCCTTAAATAAAACAATTACCACAACTCACTTCGAACCTGAAAAGGGACACACCTGCACATGCGCTCTCAATGTTGGGTCTGTCTCGATATCCAACATATCAAACAACGCCCCTTCAAGTCCCGTGTCTGGTAGCGGTAGCTTCTTACCCTCATCGACCACACCTTGAGGAACTAGAACTTGCGCATGCTCTCGCACCTAAAAAGCAAACAGCAGATAGATTATGTATGATCCGCTACCAACACTACAAACCTCTCTAGCTTCTCTTTGGACCAGTTGTCTTAGGCAGCAGACTGATGCCTTGCGTAAGCAAAGGTGTTGGCTCGTCAAGAAACTAAAAATTCAGGCTTTACCCATAGCTTGACCGAGAATTCTAGAAAATCTTAAAAGAGAGGACTAGCAAATACACTAATGGGATCAAAAGATTCTATCACTAAGTAATGAAGTTCAAAAGGTAAATAATCAAAAAAAATGTTTGATACTTACGTTGCTATGTCTACTACCAGATGTCCAAGATTCACATAACGTGGAGCATACAGATGCATCTGCTGCAGTCCTCCAATGGCTTCTGCCTTGATCAATGGATCAGGGTGGGCAAGCTGAAGATATCTTTGTGACGAACTAAACTGACTAAACTGAGAGGTGAACTTACTTGAATGGCGCAAGCAGCTAGAAGCGACGCTCTCACACCTTCTATGGTTCCGCATGAGCCCAATTCTGGTCCAACACATGTCATCAATGCAGTCAACTAGAACAAGCTCATATATCCCCATACCAACATTTGTAGGTAAAGAAAAACTCACTAGCTTCCCAATTCCTTGCACTACCTCGACATTCGATGATTGGGTATTGAGCAGCAGAGTGAGACAATCGCTCAGAGCTAATTCCACATATCCTCGGAACATGCCACCACCAGTTTCAGCTATCAATGACAGCGCCACCATTGCCCACGCCTAAATCAACGCACGATTTATACCGTAATCTAGTGACTGTATAGCTCACCTGCACAGAAGGAGCATTGTGGTCCCTTGCCAAAGCAAACAGCACCGATACACCGGTGTGTAGATGTTGTCCGCTTCCCAAACTGCCCACATGCCGATGAATGCACCCCAGCGCCAAAGCATATCCAGCTCGTCGACCATCCCGGAACGCTCGCAGCTTATCGAAGCATGCTTGGGCTCGCAAGGCAACAAACTACAAACATTACGTAGGTCAACATTCCCAGACGAATAAAGTTAGCTTACCTGGGGATCTCCGACAGCTTGTGCCAGTCTACCCAGCGCCTCTGCAGCAGCAGCTCTTATCAATGGTGTGGCCCCTGTCTCCAAGCCTGATTCGACAAGGGCAGTGCTGGCTTTTCTTACTGGTTCACTGTCCATACGAGCACCACCGCGAGATTCTGTCACTGCTCGAAATGCCAACGCAAGGGCACATAGCACATTTAGTAGGATCTATAAGAATGAGAAGTTTGGAAATATTAGAATTTAAATGCTGACAAGAATATTCTCTCAGACTTACTAACAATTTCCCGTACTAAATATGAAAAGTGGGCAGATTGGAGGTGTGAAAAGTGATTTCTCAAAGGAGCGTCTTCCCAAGCAAGAATTTTATAATACCCACAAAAGTGGGTTTGAATTTTTTTTCGAACTTAAACATCGTTAGCTAATCAAAGAAAACAATAAAGCTGCGACATACCGCTTGTTGCCTTTGTGCATGTTTGCAGTTCTTTATCACTTCAGCGAAATGTTCTGTGATTTGCAGCTTTTGTCGATCCGGGATCATTGGAAACACCTAAAATGTCAATTCTATATGATGCCGCCACTATAAAGATCAAGCAATTCATCAATATTGTGAAAATGAGGAAAATTACTCATGAAATTGAATTCTCACCCTTCCATAAGCCAAGATAGCCGCATCTAAGCATGCCGCTTGGGGCGTGTCTGGTTCCGGCCATAAGTTATGTACATCCTTGGCAGATCCACTGAAATCAAGAAAATAAGTGTATATTGGGCAAAAAGCAAGACTTTCCTACCTGATCAAGCAAGTCGAGTCATTTTCGAGTGCTCCACTGCCCATGTGCGACAGCGTTTGCAGCTGAAATTTAACTCTTCATAACATTTTTTCCTAAAAACAGAAAGTAATCAACAAACCTGATCTTCAACCAGCGCTTGATCGGTAGCTCCGCCACTCCAGGGAGCCAACAAGGTGTACTCAGCTCCAGAACACAGGGTGCCTGCTACTGAAGTCATCAGCTGCGAACCCTGGTCGTCTGATAGAGTCACCTCAGCAACGAGTTCACGAAGAAGTGAGGGGAACATATCTTGAAAAAGCCATCTTTATGGATAACGTGCCAAAAAGTGCAATCGTACGAAAAAAGTCTTCTGAGACTTACGCTCATAGCTCTTCGGTGGAAGTAGCATAAGAAGCTGGTATACTCGCACTCGTACGCTACTTATCAATGCCCTCATTTTCGTACCATATGATCTGATCAACGTCCCCACTCTAGAATTTCGCAAAAAATCAACAAATCATAGCAAACAAACCTTACGAGGCGAAACACAAGAAAAACTCACTGTGCGCTCATCACCAATGCGCATTCTATAGGCAAAAGCATAGCCTTTATGGCGTCATCATCAGCTAGCTCCCGCTGATTTGCCACGGCTAACATCACTCCCAATGCTCCGGCACGTTGTTCTAAGGCACATTGCCAGGAAAATGCATCTCCTCGCCCTTTCTCCGCCTCAGCCTCCTTGGTGCTTCTTGGAAACGCCGTACGCCACAACTGCATGATCTTCGGCATGTTCTCCTTCACGACAGGAGTTCCTGTAAATCATGAAATTGAGAAGAAAAGTGGAAATTGAGGTAGTTGCTTCCTATTCACCCATTGAGACTACAGCGTTCAGCAATATGTAACCAGCGTTGATCTTTGCCACAGCCAGACGGCTTTGCTGAGTAGCTGTTTTCAACATGTCTTCAGCACATGTGAGCACCTATGATAAGCAATCATACATAGATGTTTTAGATGGAGCACAATTTGTAAATATCAAAACAAAGCCAACTAGTATAGATGAAGAAGACTATTCGTGAGTCTTACCTGTTTCGGTTTTGCATGCGGGATTCCTAGCTTACAGTCGGAAGCAGCTGCTATCAATGCTGCTAGAGCTAATGAGTATCCACTAATGGCATCACTGCATGATTTCATATGTTCCAGCCTAGAAAACCATTAGGATGATTTACGAAAAACAGTTAGAAACAGTTCATCATGTCACAAGTAGTCCTGCATAAAGATGAATGGTTCAAAAATCGGAATGCAAATCCGGATACGGTCTTTACTACACTTACCTACTTATACATCTATCAATCAATGGCGTAAGTTGACTTGGTACAGCCATTGTGATACATCTGAGACACCATGCCGTTGCCGTACGAGCGGAGACAATCGGATGGAGAAGACATGCGAACACCGGCTCCATAATACCTACAACAATCAATTTGCACTATATTTTGGAAATATAAAAACTATTTACTACAGAAATTAGAAACATACCAGATGCTTCGACGAATAGGGGCGTGACGGCAGTCCCAATTTGCCGGACCAAATTAGACAATTCTAAAGTGGCTACTACAGCTGCTTGAGCACTAGAGTACGCTTCTGCTCCAAGAACTCGTTCAACTCCGGGATCAACAGAGTAGTCTGAAAGAGATATTAGTGATCCAGACGTGAAACTGCGCACAAAGTTATAAAGCTCACCGAAAGAGTTGATATAATCTGCCAAGAGTTGACCAAGGTATTTGCAAGCGGTGATTTGAGCTTGCTCGCTCAGCATTGTTCCTACACTCGCTCGTAGAATGTACGAAACACATCTGCGGAGGAAGATGGCTTCAGCTGCTTGAGCAGGAGAGCTGGAATTTTACGTAAAACTAGATGAGTTCAAAAGATGCGCACGTTAGTCAAGAAACATGATCAAGTCCACTTGATAATGCTTATGGAATTGAAATTAAAAAAAAAACTCCAATAGAATAAACTTAAATAGCAAGATAGACTGAGGAATAAACGCTAAAAATTGCAAAATTCACCTGGTGTAAGCAAGGCTACCACACTTCGCAGCTAGTTCCAGCAAATGGCGGCACACCATAGCCAGGTTTCTTTCTAACCAGGTGGCACCCATTTCACGCATAAGTTCGACGTACCCCTAAACACAATTTGTAATAAAAAAATTAATTAAGGGAAACAACGACCAACTGACCATAGCAATGCCCGCTCGCACATCCTTTTGGCCACCAACAGTGGCTGTGCTGTGACTTGAGCCACCTTTGAGAAAACCTCCTATGCCACCACGCAAGAAACCACCTGCTAGGAGGTGCAGGGCATCCTCCAACGGAATCGGTCGAATAGGTGCCATGCGCGCATTTGCTGCAGCTTTGCCATATGCTAGAAAAATGACAGTTACGGGCACAGCAGACTTGTCTTAGGCACAGGAAATTTCCAAAAAACAGGACTTTTCGGCTTAAGTCTACTATAAAAATTGCCTTCACAAAAAACGTTTTTAGCAAGTTGCAGACCATGTTCTCAAGAAAGGGCATTGAGTCAAGCTAAATCAACATTTGAGGTCGAATAATTCGAACATCAAGAAGCGCTATATAAAAAAAATCTTAAACGTCCCTCGGCTGGCTAAAAGCCCTCCATCAATCCACCAACAAAAAACACAGAGCCGAGTCCCCAAACTGCCCCATTTCTTTCTATGCCCAGCAGAGCACACGGACAAATGACTCCAACACATTGCCGAAAAAGTTCGCAAACAAAGCAGCGTTGCGTTGATTGGCATGGTCGTCAAGCATAGAAAACAATCAAAGAAGGCGAGCAGTGAAAACAAATCCAGCTAATCAGGCACACAACTGGCATAAAGCGATTGTTATCGTAAGCAGACCTAATCAAACGCCCAAATGTAACGTAAGCGCTATAACGCTATCATCAAATAAAAGACACGGAACATACCGATTGGAGGCGGAGGGGGTTGCAGCGCAGTGGCTAGAAGTACGCCAAGAAGTTTTGCAACTGCTAGTCTAGTTTCATAGTTAGAGCCATCCAAGGCTTTCGTGCACAATGTCACAACTGCTTCAAGTTCTGTTGAATACAAAGGCGGATAAACAGGTACTAGGGCAGTGACGCACTAAAAATGACTGCTTTGGAAAAAGTTGGACGACAGTTGTGTTTAACTACCTGTATAGCTGCCGTCCGAACAGGCATTACTCGATCGGCAAGGTGAGCTTTTGCTGCTTTGTAAACGTCCTTGTGGAAGTTCGCGGCGCCAGAGCCAAGTCCAGTGACCATGCTCGACAGTGTTATGAGAATCTCAGCACGTCCTTGGGACTAAACGTAGATTTCAAGTTCAAAAGTACAACGTATAAACAAACAGCAATTTAGCATCAATATCGAAAAAATGAACCATTTCAAAAGTGAAAAGGTAAATCAGTCCAGATATCGAAATAAAAGAAATGCTGGACATGCGGCAGGAGAGGAAAATTTCGAAAAAAATTTAATTTGACTTGGAGAAAAAAAGTAATAATTAAATCACCTCAGCAACCTTGAGCCATTTGACCATGATTGGAAAAGTGTCGACAAAACTTGATCCACATTTTCCCATAGTTTCATAAAATGCAGCAATGCATGCAAGGGCGGCCCTTGAACGATATGCATATGAAAATAACAATGACACATTTTAAGTCACTTACAGCTTTGCAGGTAGTTGACTTGGTGAATCATCTTTTATTTTTAGTGTATCGTTGCATAAATTTAGAGTGTCTCCGAAAGTTGAACTATCACCGATCATATATATTCTGGCCAAACATCTGTAGAATTTGGAATTAAAAGCAAATGCCTCAGAAAATCCAATCAAAAGCACAAATACGAACCTGGCTAATAAATATCGTATAGGAGGGCCATTTACTGAAGTTAATCTTGATAATAGTTGTTGGACTAACTGCGGTTGAATGGATTTCAGATCAGACTAAAAATGGGATTGTCACATCGATAAAGCAAAAAAATAGTGAACATACCCGTTGTGTGACTGGCAAAATGCGATCTAAGTACCGTAGCCATTCGTAGAGAAAGACTGGCTTTTTAGCATCCGCACATTGCTAAAATAAGTCCCATTCAAAAAATACGTTCACCAATGGAAAAAAGAGATTTTCAAACTGATAGCAAAATGCAAACTCTTCAAAAGATATTTCAATTATAGTTTGGCAAAAAAGCATCTTAACGGTATTAACGCAATGCAAAGTAAAAACAAGAAAACTCTCAATAAAAGTGAAATAAAAAAATTGACTTACCCTAAGCGCTTCCTCGTTCAGTAATAAACTATGAGATTCATCCATGAATTAGAAATCTAGAAAAACTCGTTATCAAGGTTTGCAGAATATAGATCCAAAAACGATATCGAAGGAGAGAAACCAAATGAGGAACAGCTAAAATGAGCTAAAAGAGTTTATTTGAGCATATGCACATATAGAAATCTGACAGAACGATATAAATACACATATCACAATGTAACCCATAAATTACTTCATATGTTAACAATTCAACCCATATTTGATAGAAACTCCTTAAAATCCAAATAAGCCTGGAAACAACAATAGCGTGAGAGACAAAGCCACCCTGAAAGTTCGTCGATAAAAATGTTGGTGAAAAACAGAAACGGCAGCAATTACGAGCAGTTAGTTGATGTGTACGCCTCGGGGGAAATGCGATGTTGTCGTTTTATCTCCTTGCTGAGCGATAACTTCTAGCCTCCATCACAACAGAACTCCAAAGCAGCCTGACACCAGACTCACGGACTGAATAACGAGAGCATTGTGAAAGAAGAGGCGGCGACCACGGAATGGACATCAGTCACTAAAAAAAGAAATGGTAATGAGGTTGACGCCGTCGGAGTCGACATGAACTAATAGCCATAGATCTCTTATTTAATGACTTTTTCATTATAAAACCAAAGTGCGCAATGAAGGAAAACACACACATGTAATGAGGTCATCGGAGGATGTGATGAAGATGAGGTCAAGAGATTGAGGAATCACATCAGAAAGCTCAAAACTACATCAAAACTTCCGTTGTAGAAGCGGATTGCTTCTTTTGGGATATCTGGGGAGAAGTGCATGAAATTCAAGCATAACTCAACACGTGATTGTTGAACCACTAAAACTTGCACTTCAAGTGTCTAGACGGAATAGGGCATAGCCAGGATGTAAGAAGAACTTTGGCTCATTCTCGAACTCGGCTTAGCAAAGCGTACACAGGAATATAGAAACTACGTGAAGCAGAGGATGCGGCGAAGCTAGCGAATGAAATCTTCATTATAGTTTCGCAAATACTAATTTCCAGTAAAAAAGAATCTTTCCAGAAAAAATGTCGCTCTCGTGGACTGTTTTTGCCTAAAAAATAAAAAAAGATTTAGAAAACTACTTATCATTACAGACCGCAATTATTTTGCGTTAGACCAATAGAAGTGGTTCCAATCTCCACTGTTACGGAAGTTCATGAATATTCACAAGATAATGAGAGCGTGAAAGGGCATTTGGCGATCAGAAAGTCAGTTGGGCGACAGAAAAAAAGAAGAAATATAATAGCCATTACGATGTAAAGCTCGCCAGTTTTATATAATGGCGCATAATCTCACGATTTATGGCATTCCACTATACTATTAGTCTAACGCAAGATTGTTAGTGCTCATTATGTTCCAAACATCAAGACTTTACGGAAAATGCACGCATTTGAAGTATCTTTCTCTAAATGAAACTTTAGGATGATTTGATTGAGCCATTGCCCAAGCAGCAGCTCATGCGCTTCACATATGACAGAAAAAATTAATCCCGAACAATCGCCCAATATCGTACTTACCACCGTACCCGAGGACGCTGACAGGTTCGTTCGGAGAGATAAGGTCTGGGTCAAGATTCATTAGCCGTATAGATCAAATGAGTTGCTATTCGGGAAGGGTCTTACTAAGTCTCACAATCATTTCCTATATATGGAACCTAGAACCAGATCTGCTTGGGACTGGCTTACCTATCCTTCCCAAAAATACTTAACTTTCAGGTAATAAGGTGATATCGAAACTTATCAGATACTGTAGTAGGTCTTTTAAGGCATGGAGAACAGCATCTGCTAGACCCAAAAAGGCCTCCAAAGACATATAAGTCAAAACGCTATCCTGGCAGAAAGTGACAAACATACAAAAACGCGTCATCAGCCCCCACATTCGTTTCCTGACGACTCGAAGAATGAATGACAGCAATACATCAAAAGTCAAACGCAAAGGAAATTCGTTCAAAGCATAGCCTGCCCATTACCACGCCTATGACGCAAAATGGCCTAGGCAGAGAACGCACGTATGCAAGCAGTATCACTACGATAGTGAAGAACAGTTGCACTCGGATGAACACCCGATACATTGCCCTTTCTTGCGTCGAAAAGGTCATTGGATAATGTAGGAATGTGCGTTTTTCTATGCCAGCCGGTGCTTACAAATGGCTCTCGTCTAATTTTCTTAGCACTGCAACAGGAAAAAAGTCCATTACAGCTGTCGGAACACGAGTCTTAAGCTTATAAAAGTATCGTTGTGGAGGTCTTGGCCCAACTGCACGCACCCGCGGGGAAGAAGCTGACTTTCACAAAAAGTGTGACTGAGTCGCGCTCCTTCGTGAACCCTCGCAAAATCCTGAGGATATAAATATACAAGAGAGAGAGAAAAAGAGATGAAGCCGGTGAATGGGACCAACATCCTCTTCTCCAAACGGGTGATAGCCAAAAATTCTGATCGTGTAGTTTAACTTCAATTTTATAATAATTCGAAAATGTACGCATAATCTCAAGACGAAAATTCAATATATTACTACTATGTTACTGCTTTTCTCATTCGTAAAATTGTAAACGGCTTTTATTCTAGTAAGTAATTACCCCAAATAGAGCAATTTTCTTCCCATTCTTACTCCTTGCATAGTGCATATCCTTCTCAGAAACTTTGGGAAGTTCCCCCCCCCCCCCACCCGCCCTTCCCTTTCCAGTGTGCATATGTGCACAGATCCAAGTGACCAGCGTCAACTTGACGCATTGCTTCAAGGCAGATTTACTGCGGAGTTGAGTGTAAGAGAAAAAAAGTTTGTCCCATTGAATGCCTTCTCTATTGAAGAGGTTTACAGCTGAGCCAATCCGCTCAAGCTTTTCTCATTACCGTAGAAAAAGATCGGACAAGTTATAAGCATCCCTCACTTTTTACAATTTGAAAAGAATGAAAGAGGGAGAGAGAGGATAAAAATATGAATTATATCGAACTGAACTTCAAAATAGCTAAGTATGATAAGTTTACGACACCTGAAAGTCTTTTTGTTACCATAGAGAAGGAGAGAAAACATCATAAATCTCAAGAGCTTATTGCTCATGCTTCCACGACGCAGGAGTAAAATAACGGAGAACGTCAAAACAAAGCCCATATTCAATGCACAAGCGAACGAGCTACAAAAGACCGAAAAAACTGGGCTTATGACGACATCAGTGAAAGACAACTGACGTTCGTCATGCAAAACGATTATCCTGCAAAATGATTATCCAACCCGACTTGTAGTAAAAACTCATTCTACAACCTTTTCGTGTTCTTGTGAGAAATTACCAGAGCACAAAGGATTGTAAAATGAATTTCGTGCCTGGAAAATGTGCACTTAAAGTCAACTAAGTTTTTTTTGCTAATGTGTGCGGTTGCGCAATTAGATTCTACGATGGGGAGCTGGTTTCTCAAGTAAAAAGTCTGCGAAATGTATTAGTAGGCGCTTCTTTAAGTTCGAGCTCAAGCAGAAGAAAACCGAAAAAAAGCACAGTGAACAAATAAAGGCTAGTCTCTCAAGAAGGTAGCCGTCCATGTAGGCGATGCGTGTGCGGGAACACGAGCTCACTGAAACTGCTCAGCCTCGCATCCGCTTCGCAAGAGGAACTAACCGCCTTCGTCAGGTACCAGCCTTTATGAGTCTCATGGTCCCTCAGTATACTGAAAAGTGTGCGAATGCACAAATTTGCAAGAGGAGCTACTCGAGTGCCTAGCGCCGCCTGCTTCTCGATAGAAAAAAGTAACACTCATTATTAGTTTTTACGCAACTAACATTCTCTTTCTTGTGGTTTGTGTTCCTCACAATACCTTCCTGCGTAGCTGAATGAAAACCTTTCTTTACTGTGAAAACTTCAAGTGCAAGAAGTAAGCTTTCGAGAGCATCAAAAAATACAAAAGCTTTTCGAATTCTGTTGACTCAAATGATTGTGTGAATACAGAGGCAGCAAGGACTAGTTTCAGATAAAGCCATTTCAACAAGAAGTACTTCGATGCAAGCTTAAATTTCACTCTTGGTTGTGAAGGGAGGAGGGGGGAGGGGGGGGGATTTTCACAAAAATCTATGACTCTTTGCCAAGCTGGTTTTCTAGACTTCAAGAGATATAACATTCACCAATTCAGTTTCACTGATTCAAATTATGTTATGATTATTACAATGTTTTGCACACATCCTCTGGCAAATAAAAACGAAATTAATTTTAAAAAAACAACATTTTACCCTGAAACATTGTGTGGGCACTTCCCAATAGTCCCTATCCTCATTAAAAACAATGGAAACTGGCTCTTTCCATTAATCTTTTCTTTACAAACAAATCTCTTTGTAAACCCAAATCAATGATAATCCTAGTGTTGGTGGATGGATTATGCGTGTGTGAGCAAAACAACTCAAAAAAAGAGCTCTAGAAAGAGCCTTAAAATAGAATGGAGAACTTCTGAAATATGAAAGATCGTTCTAAGTTGCTCATATAAGAAATGGCAAACGTCAGCCGTCAAGACGTCTTTAGAACAAGCAAAAGAATGTAGGCATCAAGAGTCAAAAATGAAAATTCCATAAGAAAAGCTCGGACGTCTTGCTGCATCAATCAACTGCTGGTTTTTGAAGGTAGCGACAGTAATGGGAGAAGGGTTAAAAGGACAGAAATGAGAAGTAATCGAGTTTGGCTAGGGCCAACTAATCTCACAGAGGACTTGCACTTTCGAAGAGATCCAATTACAAGCGCAAAAAGGTTGGAATGGAAAAAGAGAAGAAAAAAGACCTGTAAGACTAAAAGACTGGTCTTATACGACCACTCAAAGTGCCCACACAGTAGTAATCGTTCAGAGTTCAAATTCCTGAGCGGGAAAGAAGAAAGGGCGATTACGGATGTTTCAATGGAACAGCATAATGAGAGCAAAAACTAGGCAATGTTCGCGCCAGCTGTTTCAGTGGAGATTCACTTTCGGTTCAAAAAGTAATTATAGTCGGATGGGAACCTCTAGTAACAGATGTGGAGCAGAATTCTGACATTCATCATTGGTACGACTACAATTTTCCGCTTCAATAACGCAGAAAATGACAGATCTCTTTCGGAACACTGATGAATTTAGTAACGCATTCAAGCCTATAGCAAGGACCATTGGTCAAGTACAACCTCCCCTTCATTCGAGCCGAACCGACAAGCAGACTAGGAGAAGTATAAGTTATCGTAACAGTTACTGCTAATAAATTACGTCGGACAACATCATAGCTGTCAAATGACTAGACGAGAGAAAGCGATAAGAATTAGAAAAAGTTTATAGATTTTTCATGAACGCCATTCATTTCAAGTGGCTCATTTAAAAATTTCATGGAAAATGATGTCATGTCATTACGCTTGGGGCGCATATCCGCGTTCGAAAATGGGATTAGACGGGAATGACGATCTCCAAATGAATTCGTCAACGATGATGTCCGAGCATGAATTCACAAGAATGTAAATTACTGAAGATGAAATCGTATGGAAATTTATTCTTACTTCAACTGAGTTGATAACCTTTAAAA